CCATCCGCGCCCTTTTGGCGCCTTTGTGCCGCCGCCGAGTATTGCAGCCCAACGGTCGGTGTTTGGCCAAGATACTTGGCCACCCTCATTCCAGCTGCTACCTGCTCCTCATTAGGGCATTGCACAACCCTAGCCAGCTGCCCGGTAGCAAACGCGACGTCCGGTCGGGTGTTTACCGCCGCATACATGAGGCTGCCCACCAACGAGTGAAATCGGCGCCTCTCCTCTTCACCAACGCTCTCCTCCTCTGGTCCCTTCACACACTTGAACCCAGAGGGAAAGGGTGTAGCCACATGGCCTTCACTCTGCCCAAAGTTGGCAGCCAATGCCTCCAGGTACTTTCGTTGATGCACCCGCATGCACCGCTTCTCCACATCTCGTTCGATGTGGAGCCCAAGGTAGAAGCTCACGTCACCAAGGGCCTTGCACTTGAACTTGTCTTGAAGCTTCAGCATCACCTCCTTCACAAGGTCAGAAGAGGGTGAGAAAATGAGGATGTCATCCACATAAACCACCATGAAACTCCTCTGCTCCCCCTCGCCAAGCATGAACAAGGAGTGATCGGCCGTTGAGGGAGTGAAGCCGATCCCCTCTAACACTTCGCGCAGCTTCATGTACCATTGCCTAGGGGCCTGCTTCAGCCCATAGAGGGCCTTCTTCAGCTTCCACACTCTGCCACTACCATCATCAAACCCCTCTGGCTGCGCCATAAAAATCTCCTCCTCAAGGATGCCGTTAAGGAATGCCGTTACGATGTCCATTTGCTTTACTACCCATCCTTTGATGGCGGCTCCCGCGAATAGGGTTCGCAGCGTCGTCGGCTTCACCACAGGGGCAAACAGCTCCTTGAAGTCCACCTTCTCCTTCTGCTGGTACCCCTTGGCTACAAGCCTAGACTTGTAGCGCTCGATCTTGCCGTCGGCATCCGACTTGATTTTGAAGAGCCACTTGGACGTTATCGCCGTACGCCCCTCCGGTAGCTCCACCAATTCAAACGTGTCATTCTCCTCGATGCTCTTCAGCTCACTCTCCATGGCCTTCTTCCACTCCTCAGCATCACTACTCTCCAAAGCCTCCTTGAGAGTTGCTGGTTCTCCCGGCATCTCCACCGGAGAGAAGAACGCGAAGGCACACTCCTCGTAGTCACTCTCCTCGTCGTCTCCGACCATCATTGCCGCTCCGGCCAGGGCTGTCTTGCCCTGCTTTCCCGGCGCATCATAGGTCAGCCTATTAGGGGGTTGAACTCTCCTCTTCCCCCTTCCTTCCTCCTCAGCTGCAGGGACTTGAAGGCCTTGGCGTTGCTGCAGTGTGGCTCGAATCCGTGGAGCACTCGTAGTACGGGAAGGGAGTGACGGTGCACGCTCGCTCACTTGCTGCACCTCCTCCTCTTCTTCCTCTGCATCATTGGCCTCCTCTCCCCCATTCACAAGGGAGGATTGCCTTGTGGTTGTGCTGCCGCTGCTCAGCTCCAAAGGCAGCTCCACATGCTCCAAACCGGAACTCTTCACCTCCCCAAACCGCACGCCTATCTTCGCCTCATTCTCCGCCTTCCAATCCTTGTACATGAAGTTCTCCATGAACTTGCAGTCCCTGCTCACCAAGAACTTCTTGGTGAATGGGTCCCAAAGAAGCCATCCCTTGCTGTTTTGAGCCATGCCCAAGTGCACGGCCCACACCGCCTTGGCACCAAGCTTGTTGTGCCGAAGATGCTTAGGCACGAGCGCCATGCACATGCACCCGAACACCCGAAGCATATCCACCTTTGGCTTCCTTCCTAGCCACTCCACATAGGGCACCCATTTGTCTGCTCCCACACGAGTCAAGGCTCTGTTCTTGGCCACACACGCGCTCCGCACCGCATCAGGCCAGAAATAGTCGGGTAGCCCGGCTTCAATGAGCAACCCGCGTGCCGCCTCCGTGATTGTGCGGTTCGCTCGCTCGGCGATGCCGTTCATTGCAGGGGAGTATGGCATGGTGAGGGAGTGCCGAATACCATTCTTCTTCAGCCACAACCCAAACTCCTTGCTCAGGAACTCTCCCCCTCGATCGGTGCGGATTGACTTGACTAGACGGTCTTGTTGCCGCTCCACCATCGGGAACCAATCCGTCTTCAACGTTTCAGCCACGTCGCTCTTCTTGGCCAGCACGTACACCCAAGTCATGCGGGTGTAGACGTCGACTATGGTGAGAAAATACTCAGCTCCAGCAGCTCCAAGCTTCAGGGGGCCCACCACGTCCATCACCACCTCATCAAGCGGTGCCTTTGCCGTTGCCTCCGAACTAGGGAACGGAAACCGGGTGAACTTGGCTTGAATGCACGTCGGGCAGCCAAGCACCTCATCGGGCTCCCCCTTCACACGTATGCCAGCAACCATCTCATTCTTCACTAGCTGCTGCAAGATGGGCAGGGCCACATGCCCCATGCGCCGATGCAAGGTGAGCCAATCACACTCCCCCGTAGCCGAATTTGGATTGGAGAATGCCGCGCTCGCAATAGCGCCCCACATACTCTCTCCGTAGTCCTCCTCCGCTGCTGCCTCTGGGTTCTCCTCACCCTTTTGCTGCTCCTTGGTTGCTGCACCACTCTCCTTAGGTTCACTGAACTTGCTGGTCCCTCCAGGTTTGCTCTTCTTGAGCTCATTCTCCTTAGCGCGACCGTTCGCGCCATCGTCGCTACCGACCGCTCCATCCTTGGTGCTGATGCTTGCTGCCACTTGCCTCTCCTTAGGCATAGGGACCACTGGGATCTGCCACATCTCGTTGTAGACATCCCTGTCCTCATGAAGGTCCCAAAGAATTCGATCGCCAAGCCTTGCGGTGTAGGTCTTGGCTCCCTTCGAGTTCGTGTCCATGCCGGCCTTTGCCAACCGCCGCACGGAAATCAGGTTTGCAGCAAGGCTGGGCACCCAAAGCACGTTCTTGAGGCCCACCATCTTCCCATCAGCACCCTTGAACATGGCCTTGCCCATGCCTTTCACCTCTGCTCGCTGCCCCAAAGCCGATGTGACATGCTTCACCGGTGACGGCTCGAGTTCGGTGAGCAAGTCCGGGCGAGGTGTCATGATATAGGTAGCGCCACTATCAATCACCCAATAGTCCAGGGGGTGTAGGGTCACCTTCCCCACAGCTGCTGGCTCCTCAAAGCCTTCATCCTTCTCTGGACCAGCCGGTACTTGCGTCGACACGAAGTAGAATAGACCCGGGTATCGATCGTCGCTCGGGTCCTTGTCGTTGTCTCCGCTCTTCATGTTTGCAGCTCCGCCACCGCGACCGCCACGGCCTCCACGGCCTCGTCCTCTCCCTCGTCCTGCTCCTCTACCCTCTTGGCCTTGAGCAGGGGTCCAACCATCAGGGAGTTTGTAGCAGTCGCGCCACATGTGTCCGCTCTTGTGGCAATAGTGACACTCGCCGTCGAATCGGCCGCGACCGCGTCCGTAGCTCTTGTCGTCGCTGCCGTAACCGCCACTCCTGCGGCCTCCGCCGAAGTTGCTGCCACCAAACCTTCCTCCCCCTCGTCCTCTGCCTCTTCCTCGACCATATCCACGGCGGGGTGTACTCTGATCGATCAGAGTGCCTCAAAACGAATATAGGGGCCTGTAGGAGTAGTAGAGAGTGCACTACCTTTGAGGCACCTTGTAAGGAATTAGAATTCCTTACTGTAGTCATTTATTAGCGAGTACATCCCGAAGGTCACGCGACGAACCTGTTCGGCCTATTTCGTCGGCCGAACCACTCCCGAGTCGGCCTCCGCTCCAATCGCATCCATATTGAGCCATCCTCGCCCAACCTCCCCGCCTTGCTAGGACTTCCCCTATTTAGGCCTCGTCACTTCCATTGTATCGTCATTCAGTAATTCTGTAATTCTCATTCTCTATATTCGTTTTACTGCGCACTCTGCAAGTTCATTCATAACACACCTCAAGGGTCCTCTATCAACACGCTGAAAGGGTACATGTGCTGCACTGGTACATATTCAGCATAGTGTAAGCTGCGCATCCTGTTTGAACCTGCTCGTGTAGTTTCTAAAATCTGAACCCCATATTGGTTCTTACGACATATACCGAATTTGGGGGGTGACCGTTGGGTAACAATCGTGACTGTTTATCGCCTTGGCTTTACTGGTCGGAATGGGAAATTGGGGTTGCGCGAAACTTTACTAGCTGGAACGAAAGGAAACAGGTGAGAAGTGATGTGGCGAAACGAAAACAACGAAACGAGGGCGATGGAACCAGGCGAGAAGGAATTGCGCGTGGGGAACGTGCTCAATGCTGCCGGCTGGGTGTGCTGCGAACTCTCAACCGTCGGAGCTCACATATGATTATCCATAGCAGCCCAGTCCAGTAACATGGCTGATGCGTGAGTCCTTATTCTTGTAAAAACCGCTAGATGAGCCGCTAGATGTATTTATCATTTCCCAGCTTATCTTTTGGGAAGCCAGCCGTTTAGAAGTCCGAAGCTTGGCGAGTTCGGGGTAGACCTATTCTCGCCTATGAATTGCTATTGCTGCCTGACTGAAACCAAACGGCGTTAGCAATGTCGTGTCGATATTAGCATTAGGGTTCCACGTGCAGGAAGTGGCTTAGCATGCTAGAGTCGTTTAAAAAGACGTTTGTAAGGGGTCGGGAAAAGCAGGGTAAGACAGACGCAGCATCGCACATGATGCAGGCAATGCAGCAGCAGCTGCGGCAATCGCCACTTGGGGGGGAGAGGACGCTGGAAAGGCGGAATGCTCGCATCCGTCTCCAGGCGGCACGAATCCAACGGCTCCCGTTCGTCGCGGCCCGAATGAAGAGATTGCGCAGGCGAGCTTGCCGCCTTTCGCGGAGCCGCTGCCGTTGTTAAAAGACGTGGGTGCGCAGGAGAAGCAGGCCCTATTTATCCGGAAGCTTCGCCTCTGCAGTTACCTCTTCGATTTCAACGACCCCCTGAAAAACGTGAAGGAGAAGGAGATTAAGCGGCAAACACCCGTCAGCTGCCTGCAGCAGCTCACGAAGCTCAGCATGTCCTTCCGCGAAGCTGTTATCACGTTACCGTCCGAGTTCGGCAGTTTGGTGCGACTGAAGCGGTTGCAGATAATTTCGTCTTCCCTCGTGCTGCCCGATTCCTTCTGCGAGCTGCCCGCCCTGGAGCACATCCAATTCCGCCGCTGCGATATTTCTTACTTACCCAGCGGCTTCGGGCAGCTCCGAAACCTCAAGATCCTGAGTCTCCAGCGACTAGCGCAGCTCGTCGAGCTGCCCGCCTCCATCTGCCTCCTCTCTGCGCTTACCAGCCTGACCCTCTTTCAGTGTTTCAAGCTCGCCAAACTGCCCGGAAACTTTCACCAGCTGGCGAATTTGCGCACTTTGCACCTAGAAGAACTGATTGCCCTCACTGCTCTTCCAGTCTCCTTAGGTCAGCTGCCCGCGCTGCGTGAGCTGAAAATTCTAGACAACGGTCGCATCACGCACCTCCCGCCATCTCTCTCTGCCAGCCGCACACTCGAGCGCCTCTCTCTGCACAACTGCCAACGACTCTCGTCCCTGCCAGACGCTATCGGCCACATTCCGACTCTAGAACGCGTCGACCTCAGCTTTCTCAACAAGCTCCTGTCGCTTCCAGCCTCCCTGGATCGCGCCTCTCGCCTCCAGGAGCTCAGAATCGTCGCCTGCAGCCTGCTTGACGGTCTCCCGCGCTCGGTCTCCGCCATGTGCTCCCTCGCCCGCCTTACTCTCGACGGCTGCGCTGCGCGGGCGCTGCCCGAGGATTTCGGGCAGCTGTCGAATCTGGTGCGGCTGAAGCTGTCGTGCGAGCGACTGACTGCTCTGCCCGGGTCGTTCGGGCAGCTGGGGAAGCTGCAGGAGCTGAGGCTCCACGCCTGCTACGAGTTAGTCCAGCTGCCCGAATGTTTCGCGAATCTTTCGTCACTCGAAACACTAGCCATCTACGGGGGAACGTCGCTCACATCCCTGCCACCCAACTTCGAGCAGCTCTCGCAACTGCGGCGCTTGGAGCTGCTCAACTGCGCCATCCCGAGACTACCAGAGAGGTTCGGGCAGCTGCCGAAGCTGGAGGTTTTCAAGGTGGGAAGCACAGACTCTTTTATGAGAAACGACGCGGAGCCAGGGCAGCCCGCGTGGCCGCCTCCCACGGCGCTCACAGTGACCACGCGGGACGAATCGGCCTCAATGTTCATGCTGATGGACGACCCGCTCCTACTGAACCAGCTGGATGAATCGCTCTTGGGGCGCTTCCTGCTACACAGCTTCCCAATGTCCTTCACCCAGCTCACCAGCCTGCAGCAGCTGGCCATCGTCGGGTGTGACGCGCTGGAGGGCCTGCCAGATGGGCTGGGCGACATGGCAGGGCTGCAAGTGCTGCAAGTCAAGAACTGCCCGCTGCTGCGCTGCTTTATGTCCCTCCTGCCCTTTCCTCCTCCTACCACCACCTCCGCACATGCCCCTCCTCTCCCAATGCTTCACAGTCTGGAGATTTCCAACTGCCCGAGTCTAACGAGCCTTCCACGCGGCCTCGATGCTCTGCCGAGGCTGGAGCGAGTCACCCTGGATAAGTGCAGCAAGCTGGGCTTTGCGAATCAACTCTCCTCGTACCATCGCCCCTCCTCAACCCCATATGCTGCACCCATCGCCCTCCCGCCCTCCGTCACCACCGTCTCCCTGCTTGACGTCTTCCCTGTAGCACGCTACCTGCCAGACTCCTTCCTCACCCTCTCGCGCCTCACTCATCTCAATCTGCACCATTTCAACTCTCTACAGGCGCTCTTTGCGCCTCGCCCACATAGTGCCCAGGCTGCAACTGTCCTTGGAGAGATGGATCTCGGCTCTGAAGCCGGTCAGGTTTACTGTTTCCCAGTTGATCCTCAACCCGGTCAGCCGGCGAGATTGGCGCTGCTCTCGTCTCTGCAGCACCTGGCAATCGTGAATACGCGCCTGCCGTTGCTGCCGAGTAACCTCAGCGACCTCCAAAGCCTCAAGGTGCTCATTCTTGAGGGGTGCATTCGCATGCCCTCCCTCCCTGACTCCCTCCTCACCTCTCCAACCTCGAAAAACTCGTTCTGAGCACCCTTCCTAGGCTGGCGCGCCTGCCCAAGAATCTCGGGCAGCTGAAAGCACTGAAAGAGCTCACTGTGGAGGCGTGTGATGCGCTGACGGGGCTGCCTGCGTCTATCGGCCTCCTCTCCTCCCTCGTCCTCCTCTCTGTCATCGAGTGCGAGAAGTTCTCCTCTGTCCCCGACTCCATCGGCTCGCTCCCCCGCCTCGCCTCCCTCAAACTGAACTGTCTCTTCCGCCTGCGCCGCCTGCCAGAGTCCATCTCTCGCCTCCCCGCCCTCGTGATCCTCTCGCTGGAAGATTGTGAGGAGCTGCGGGCGCTGCCGGAGGGGCTGGCTGGTATGGAGACTTTGAGGGAGGTGATAATAGGAGGGTGCGGCCGTCTCAAGAGTTTGCCGCAGTCGCTGCTGGATAGGCAGCATGTGATCGACCTGCAGGGTATTAACTGATGGGAGGAGGTGGTGATAGGAAAGGCGGGTAGAGTGGAGACAGAAGGTGGGCTGAAGGAACATGGCTTGAAGTACGGTAGGCAGTGGGTTTTGGGAGTGGGTAGGTTGCTTGCTGGTGTTGGTTAGGTTTCTCAATACGGTACTGGTACTATCGTACAAGGATTGAATATCTGGCTCTTCTGAATATGCTAATAATCCACACTAACCTTAAGTTCATATGCGAGCACGTTGCTGGTTTGGCCAGTCAAATGTACAGATGTTGGAACACCAGACGGACGCGAATACACAAGCACAAACACACAGGCAATACTACCATCCATATATACAAATCCATCCTGCACGTGTTGATCAGTCAAACAGGATCCAGCGCTCACTGCCCACTGTCACCCCTGCAAGGTCACTGCTCTTCAACGCCAGCAGCCTATCCACATTCGTCTTAATGCGCTCCAGGCCTAGCAGGCTCTGCAAGCACTCCACCGCCCTCCTGGTGAACTTGCAGTCCAGCAACTCCACCCTCCTCAACCCAGCCAGATGCTTCACATGCTCCATGCCCCCGTCGGTGAGATTTGTTGGCGCCGAGAGGATCTTTAGGTTGGTGAGGGTGGTCAGGTGCTGCATCCCTTTGTCATTCACCCCAGTGCCTCGCAAATACAGCTGCTCAAGGCCTGTCAGCTTCCCCACATACGCCATGCCAGCAGAGGTGACACCCGCACAGTTATGCAGCCACAGCAGCCTGAGTGAGGAAAGGCCTATTAGGTGCAGCAGGCCGGTGTTAGTCACTGTGGTGTTACTCAAGCAGAGATCCTCGAGTCCCTTCAGTGCACAAATGCCTTCCAGCCCATCCAGTGCGGCACAGTAGCTGAGGTCCAGCTTCACCAGCCCCGCCAGCTTGAACACGTGCTTTAAGCCCTCTGCATCGAAGCCTGAGGACCCGTACAGGCAGAGCTCCTTCAGGTCGTGCATTCTCGACACGTGGTGCAGAGCAGCGCTCGACAGGGTGCTCAGATTCTTCAGCTCCACCGCGTTCCTTGCTGCTGTAGGTCCGCTCCATGCTGACAGGATTTTCTGGAGGGAAAGAAGCACAGAAATCCCGAAACGACTCAAACGATTTCAAACACTGCTCCAGTGTTTACACACGAGGAAAAACGTGTGGAGGAAATACGATTATGGAGAGCCAAAGTAAGATAATGACAAGTCAGAAATCGTGGGGGCATACCGCAAGTACATGTATGCCCCTTCAGCTACAAAGCAGCAAGCACATACATATTGGGCCATGAACCGCACTCACCTCCCACGTGTCTTGGCTTCCCCCCTGCCACCGCACAAGGGCTGCGACCACCTTCCAGACGCGGTTACTCAGTCTAGCAACCTCCGTTGTCAAGGCTGCTGATTCCCCTCCTTGCCTCTCCATGCCCCTCTCTCCTCCAAACCCCTCTGTCACACCACTCTCTCGCACTACAGCCATTGCTCCTCTGAGCTCGTTCTCCTCCTTCTTAACAAATGACTTCACTGCGATTGTTTGGCTCTTCAGCTCCACCAACCCGTCATTCACTCCACTCAACTGCCCTTTGCCTCCAGACACATCTTCCTTCACTTCGGTCAACCTTCCCTCAACTTCAGTCAACGCCCCTTTGACTGTGATTAACTCCTCCTTCAATTCAGTCAACCCCCTCCTGAATCCAGTAACTTTGTCTTTGACTCCAGAACATTCTTCCTTCACTTGCGTCAGCCCACCTTTCACCTTGTCCAGCCTTATGTCGACTTTCATCAGGTCTATTTTTACTCCAGACACCTTATTCACAGCCCCAGTCACCTCTCCTTTCACTCCACTCAATGCCCGCTGTATTTTAGTCAAATCCTTCATCACTCCAATCAATGCCCAATCTACTTTATACAGCCCCCCCTTTAAGCCAGTCAATTCCTCTTTCACTTCAGTCACCTCCCCCTTTACCGCAGTCAACTCCCCTTTGACGTCCTCCTTCATTTCACGCATCTCCCCTTGCACACTGGCTATCCCCCGCCAGTGCATTGCATGTAACTCTTCCTTCTTTCCTCTCCATTCTCATTCGACTCCAATCAAATCCTCCTCTGCTCTGGTCAGTCCCCCCTTTACTCCAGACAACTTCCCTTCGACTCCAGAGAACTTGTCGGCCACTTCATTCAACGCTACTTTGAGAGTGATAAATTCCTCCTGCATTCCACATATTTCCCCTTTGACTCCAGCTAATCCCCCCTTCCCCTCAGCCAATCCCCTACTTACTCCTGACAATTCCCCTTCGACTCTAGAAAACTTGTCTGCCACTCCAACAAACTCTCTTTTGAGCGCAGCCAACTCCTCCTGCATCCCACACAGCTCCCCCTTCACTCCAGCTATTTCCACCTTCACTGCCATCAACTCACTCTTCTCCTCAGACAACTCCCTTTTCACTCCAGTAAATTCCCCTTCGAATACAAGACACTTCTCTTCAACTCCTCTCAACCCCTCCTTCATTTCACACATTTCCCCTTTTATCCCAGCTAATCCACCCTTCACTGCAGCTAGCTCTCCCTTCCCTCCAATCAATTCTTCTTTCACTCCTGCCAAATCCCCTTTGACGCCACCCAACTCCTCCTCCACTCTAAACAATCCACCCTTTACTCCGGCCAGCCCCTTTACTGCAGTTAACCTCCCCTTCTCTCCAGTTAATTCCCTCTTTACTCCAGCCAATTCCCCTTGAACTTCAGAATACTTTTTTTCCACTTTAGCCAATTCCCCTTTGACGCCGGTCAGCTCTTCCTCCACTCCACGCAGCTCCCCCTTCACTGCTGCCAGCTCTATCTCCCTCTTCTCCTCCACAGCAGCAGTCGTCTCACTCGTCTCTTCCAATACATCCAGTGCGTGCGTCAGCTCAGTCACCTCATTCTCCACGAACCAGCTCCTCTTCTCCAGCATCAACACTCGCTCGTTCTGCCTGCCCACCTCCTCCCACAGTGCGCCCAACTCCCCTTTCACTGCTGCTACTAGCTCCTCCCTCACCAACCCAAACAGCGCTTTCACTGCTTCACCTATCTCATTTGTCCCCCTCTTTATTGCCATAAGTGCGGCTTCAGTTCAGCCGGCTCCTTCCTTGCTACAGACTGCCGGAAGTGGATGGCACTGTAGCATATCGGATGGAGGCATGGAGGTAAATAGGGATGTGCACGAAACAACAAGGAGGGGGAAGGAGCGACATTCTGATCAAGCTGACATGAACGTACAGCGAGTGACTGAGGCCTTGCCTCATCTGAATTATGCGACCGAGGCGAGGCACGTCACTCGCTTGTCAAGCAAACGAGTATTCCCTACTTGGCCAAAAGGGCGAGGCAAACTCTACCTGCGAGTAAAATATTATTGCAATTGTCCCTTCGCACGGCATCTCAGAGAATATACTTGGCAATGATTTTCAGATCAGAACTTGGCCTTCAGGGTGGTTTCCAAGTGGGGCAGCATGTGGGTTTCTAGGTGGGGTTGGGAGGGGGGGCAGATTGAAATATCCGGTCGTGCAGGGTGGATTTCACAAGGGTGTTGAGGGCGAGGCGAGTGTTGCTTGCCTCGTCACAGGCAAGAAACACTCGTTCAACAAGGGGAGTAACGAGGCGGCTGAGAGGCGCCTGAGAAGTACTCAATTCGGCGAGTAATACTCGCCACACCTCGTTAGTCGAGCAAGGCACGATCTTGGTAAAGGAAATGCGAGCAAGCAAAGCTCTAGCAGAAATAAAAACGGTTTTCGAAACTGTGTAAAGCCAGGAATCTGAAGTAGAGCAGAACGACACGGATTTGTGATTACAGGACTTTCTGGAATGCCAGGCCACACATCCATTTATTTCCTTGGCAATGCCTACGTTCAGTTCGCCTCAGACATTGGTAATTACCGGCGATCAGCTTGCCCAAATAAGAGCTTGGAAGTGACGCCTCCATGCATGACTAAATGACTGTTTTCTACATTTTTCTTTTCAGCGCCCTAAGCTTGGAACGCGGAAAGGAGACCGTGGGGAGGGCATATGTATGAGGACGAGAGAAACAGAAGGCAGGGTGCGTCAACGGACTCAAGAGCATCGGCGAAAGGAGGAATATGAGGGGAAACCCGGAATGCGAGCAGAAATGAGTGGAATGACGAACCGGCCATACTTTGGCATGTTTCTAGGGTTTCGTAGATTGAATCTGACGTCTAGGCTATGATGTCTAGGCTTCTTAGACACTTGAATCCGAGCTCAGAAACGTGCATCGAACATTCCAAACGAACTGAAGTGCGCATTAGTTGTGATCTTCACTCGATGAAATGAGATGCTTACGTAGTAGAAGTGAGGCAGGGGCAAACCACGCAGGCTCCCGCTGAACGACAGTATGAGAGGTATGACGACGAGCATATAATGTAGGCGACGAGGGAGGGATACTGGGGGATGACTGTGCTAACTGAGACGCGGGTTCGGAAAATATAAGGCGCTACTGATAAGTAGTAACGCGACTCGTACAACTTCTGATGAGACGGTGATGAGCATGCCGATGACTTGTGCTCCACATTGTATCAGGGAAATTCACCTTGAATGGTTTTGCAAGGTGTAATCCGATTCAAAGGTGTTGGAACACAGTTCAGGGACGTAACTGCTTCCTCCGAAGTTCCGAGCGAAAATGAAGTTTCCGAATGGCGAATAATGCAGCAGCTGTGTAACAGGCGGTACGTGTTTCTTGGGCCTCGCATATTGGGGCAGGGTCTGTGATTTGCGAACAGCTCTTGGTCGATTTTCGCAACGAAATTCCTTGTCGCCATTTACCTCCACACAAACATAGGCCGACTATTACCAGCGACCCTACTAAATGGTCCTATTCGCGAACAGCTAGTCATGCTCCAGCAAGCACGGTTGTCGCCGTCCAGATTCGGTAGCCGTCACTATCGCCACGCGCCGTGAGAAAAATGCATGTCAGTACATCGACCACTCAATATAGACCCTCACCATCACGCAGCACGTTTTGATTCGCGCCG